AGGACACTGAACAGGTTTGTGCCGATGTTGTTACATCATGTTCCAATGACTCTGTGTAAAGCCTGAGCTCTATGAAAACCCTTTTAAACCCAAAGTTGAGCAGGTGGCTGTGAGGGAGGGCAGGGCAGAACTCACCTCCTGCTTGGTTTTGGTGGTGTAGCCCTGCACTGACTCCCTGGCCACCAGGCTCTCCAGGGCGTCCTGCACCGTGCGGATCTTGTCCGACTGGATGTCCAGCTGGAGCGTGAAGAAAAGCTGCAGCGTGGCAGATTCCTTGGAACTCTGCTGGTAAACCACAGATCTGGGGAGAAAAAAAGGAATCAAAATGTAAAAAATAGTGGTGTTCAACCAGACAGAACCTTCAAGGAAGAATGAGTTACTTAAGTAGCTCAATTTATATTTAACATCAAGTTTAAAAACTCACCCCAATTTAAATTATTGTCATCTACTGAAAGTATTCTGAATGTAACTGAACTGTTTTATTTATGCAAAGTTTAAAGAAAAAGCCTGAAAAATTTGATGAGCATTTTTAAAAAATTCACCTCCTGGCTCTTTTTGTTAGTTTAGTTTTCCAACAGTTCTTCACAAGTGTAAAGTGCCAGTGCTTATCTGTGTTGTACTGTAAAAAATCACAGGTGATTTCAGATTCTCCAATAAAAATACACCATTTTTTTCAGTCACTTCTCTAAAATAAATTTTATACTGATTTTATAGTGTTTGCTTAGGAAATATAGGAAATATAGTTTATATTTCCTTGCCATAGGAAATATAAACTATGCTCCACTGAGCATTGGCAGTTCACTTTCTTCCCATCATTTTCTGTATTCAGACTTTGTCCATGTATCTAAATGATATTGTTATATACTGAAAGCAGAATTATAATTAACACAGCTCTGACCCATTTGGCCATGCTGGAATATTTCCAAGTCAGGAAGGAAATGTTAATATTCAGGTTAATTTTAATGTTCAGGATAATCAAAAGAGCTTTTTTTTACTCAGGCAAAGTCCTGAAGCACCAACACAAAGCCAATGCAGCTTAATATTGGCAAATATATATTTAGAGGGAGAGAATGCATCAACAGCAGCACCTTTGTTTAAAAAAACAGAAATTACATTTTAACACCTCCTCAGGATATTTTCTTCACAAGATATGCAGAAATTAATTTGATAGCAAAACCTTCACTGGGCTATCATTTCTCTATAACCATGCCCCTAATTAGAATAATTACAAATCTCAGCTGGATGTGGGAAAATGAATCATTTTCAATGAAAAATTACTCAAGCACTGCAAGAATTCCCAGGAAAACTTTGTACTTCCCCACTCAAGCCTCATATTGCTAAGAAAGGCTTTATAGGCTGTGGTTTTTAATTCAACCTAAACAGAATTTAATATTTAATAGACTCAAGCCTCTCAAGGAAAGCCTAAAAACTCCCAAGGCTGAAGTTTCCCCAGCCAGAAGATGCCAACTGAAATCTTCTTTTCCTCACTGCTTTTCCCATTGGATTTTTCCAGTTCTGAAGCTCCCATTGAGTGGAATTCTACTGGCAGTTTTATATTCAGCCCTTGGCACCTCCAGCCCTGAGGATGGAGCTTTCCCACATCCCAGGGGATGCTGTTCCTGGGCTGTGAAGGATAAATAAAGTGCAGATGTTGGATTGGATCCTGTGGTTCAGCTGCTCCATGCAAGCTTTTCCCTTTTTCCTTTGCTTTATTTCATTTTTATGGACAAAAAACTGCCATCATCTCAGTATTTCTAATATAAAAATGGATGGAATTATGTAGATATTTAAACAATAGTGATAAATTCTGGTAAATACACCTGGGGTATTAACAGCACCTTGGGTATGTGAACCATTGATGCAGGATTCCATCAATACCTACAAACATCTGTCTGCCAAATTCTATGGAAAATATCATTTTATTTACCAGCTGTCTGGCTCAAAACCCAGAAGAATAAATAATTCCAGAGCATTTCCAAGGCAGAAGGCACCAGCCCACATTATTCACACCTCTACACTCAATATCTGGCAACACAGAGTCAAACACCAGCAATTAAGTGTCTGTCTCTAATTTAAAAATAATTCTTCAAGTCTAGCAGTTTTGTTTTGCTGTATGCTTTTAACAAGTGTTTACTTTGCTTTTATTTTAAATTATACATTTCTCCAAACAATTCCTTTAAAAAAAAAAAATATTCAGGTTCTCCTTTCTGCCTTTGTCTGGTGTCAGACCTGCACAGAAGTGAGATGCCACATTCTGTTCATTCCAGTAACATCTTGGAACAATTTACATTTTTCCAGACCTCTTTTGCCTTTAACATTTCTACAGCTTTCTCTGGGAAGCATGAAGGGTCTGAATAACCTAAAATTCACAGTTTTATGTTTTAATTCATTGTTTTACTGTCAAGNAGGGAGGGAAGGAAGGGAGGGAGGGAGGAAGGAAGGAAGGAAATGGAGGAAAATGCAGGGAGCATCAATTGATTTTCTTAGAAAGGGCATTTTCTTAGAAGGCATCTTCACAGTTAAGTGAACCTTCAAGAAAAACTGTTCCTATTGCACTTCTACACTTGGTCCACCAAAGAGAAGGAAAAAATCCTTTTTTTTTTTTCCCCCCCATGCAGATCTTTGCCCCACAGGCTTCTCCCCACCATTTTCTGCTTTGTGCCCCTGCTCCCACTCACCTTGCTTTGCTTTAGGAGGCACAGGCATATTAGTGAACTCATTCATTAAACGAACACTGAAACAGAAGGGAAGCCACTGGACATGAGCAGCAATTTAACACTTAGAAGAACAAATAATAAAATTAGCACATTGTCACTCTGACTGCCAAAACAAAACAAAATCCAAGAATATCACAGAAATCTGGGTGAAATTCAGACATAAAAATCCACCTGATCATTGCAGTGAAACCCAGGTGTCCTTGCACCTCCCACAGTTCAATTTTGCACATTAAAAACCACACAAAACTGATCTCCCAGTGCAACAGGAATTTTCTTCAGTGACAATCCAAGCACTTGTAAAACACCAAGTTTTTAGAAGAAGTGTCACCCAAAAACCCACAAAAAACTTCTGGCCATAGATCAGCTTTTATCAACAGCCATTGTGAGGTGTTTCTGGATGAGTTCAGCCAGATCCCATGAGCAGCAATTTAACACTCAGAACAACAAATAATAAAATTAGAACTCTGTCACTCTGAGTGCCAAAACAAACAAAATCAGAGTATCAGAGAAAACTGGGTGAAATTCAGACATNGTACCTGATGTGCCCCCCGAAGATGTCGGTGATGGGCGTCTGCACAAAGTCAGCCTGGCGCGTCACCGAGGATTTGTTGCGGGGCCCCACCTGCTCCCACTCGTCCTCGCTGCCCTCGCCCGGCTCCTCCTCCCTGGGGACACTCTGGGCCTCAGGGCCGTTGGACACCGACACCTCTGCAGGGAGGGAAAACACAGAGAAAGGGTTGGAAAAGTGAAAAACTCAATACAAACAGAAAAGGCAATGGGAATAATTGAGGGTAATGCGTCGCCAAAAATCCCCCAAAAATTCTATTGAAACCCACTAAAATACCATTAAAAAATCCTATTAAAAATCCCCTAAAAAATCCCCCAAAAATACCATTAAAAATCTTAATAAATCCTATTAAAAATCCCCTAAAAATCCCCTAAAAAATCCCCCAAAAATTCTATTAAAACCCACTGAAATACCATTAAAAAATCCTATTAAAAATCCCCTAAAAAAATCCCCCAAAAATTCTATTAAAACCCACTAAAATACCATTAAAAAATCCNGGGAGCCAAGGAATCGCTGCCACATCCACCACCCCAGCAGGGTGGAGATGCCCCTCTCTTGACCATGCTGCTCCAGCAGATGAATTAACAGAGTGGGGATCCAAATCACAGCAGGGAAATCAGGAATTGATGGATTTGTTCCCAAACACAATTATTACTTCGCACTGTGAGCTCCTTGTTTGTTCTTTCTTGCTGCTCTCCTGTTTTGGGGTAGTCTGGATTGACCACCCAGGTCCATCTGCAGCTTCTCCACCTTCTCATACTCAAGGACATTCCCCCAAATGCTTCAGCAGCTGATGATGAGCAAGAAAACAACTCCCCATAAATCTGTCCTTTAATCAGTGAAAAGCTGATGTAAAACAATGAAATAAGAACGAGAGCTGCAGCAATTTCAGAAAATTGCAGAAAACTTAGGGGGCACAAAGTACAAGTAAAATATGAACTGAAATCCACAAAATCCTTCCCTATGAAGGTGGTGAGGCACAGGCTGTCCAGAGCCCTGGAGGGGTTTAGGACTTGGAGCAAACTGGCCCGCTGGAAGGTGGCCCTGCCCATGGCAGGGGCTGGGACAAGATGAGTTTTAAGGTCCTTTCCAACCCAAATCAGTTTTGGGATTCCATGGAAACCACTCACCTTGTTCCCACAGGTTCCCTGGTCACATCTGCAGACTGGAACAGTTCAGGATCCTGAACCCAGCACCCACCTTTGGAGATGTCACCCCAGAGCAGAAGCTGAACTGCTACCACAAGCTCTGCAGCCACCACATCTGTTATTCACCAATAGAAATGATTTCCAAAAAAATCCTCTGGGTCATTAAGACAGCCTAAAATCAACCCCCAGCTGCAGAAATCTCCAGCATGTTGGGAACATCCCCTACACATCCCAGGTTTCCTCTTCATTCCTAGTGAAAAGCAGCAGATTCAGAGCACATTTACAGAGAGAAACTCTGCTGACAGCTCAGGATCCATCCTGGCAGCAGCCCTGGGGGACACCATCTCCAGAGGGTATTGGGGAAAACAGCAATTTTCTACTTAAAACAGCTTCCCCCACCCCAAACACCTCTTGGCTTGATTAACTCTCCTCCCCCAGCCCATCTCCCTCACGGCACAAGGTTTTCCCCACAGCCCTTTGGAGCTGCACATCCAGTTTCTCATTTTGGAAATTTCAGGACTTGTTGTGCATTAAGAAAAAAACCCCAAACATTTCTCAAAATCTGGTTTGAACTTCAGCAAACAACCAGTGGATTTACGGTGTATCAGAGGCTGTTGGGGTTTTTGTTTTACATAATCACACCCAGAGCAAATGATCAAAAGCTGTAAGCTCTTGTTTTGCAACAATGGGAGGAGTTACTACAGAAAATAAAAATTGTGGCTTTGTGTCCACATCACTGTTGCCACATACTTTTATTTCCCATTTAATACACTGCAGAAGAATGACTTTAGTGACAAATACATTCGTAATATCCTCAGTAAAAAATGCAAAAAATCACTTTAAGTGATACTGAGACAATTTCAACGCTTGATTTTTAAACTGGCAATGACTCATTGCCATTTCTTAAAATGGTAACATATGTGATCTCTATTGTAATACATTAATTAGTGATCAGTTTTCTCTGCACTGTTCAGGTTAAGCTGCACTATCAGAAATGCACTTTTTCACAGTGCACTGGAGATAGAGCTAAATAAATACCCAACACAGGTACAGGACTAATTAAAACCAGGATTTCTGCTGAAAGAAAACCACTTTAACCAGGTTCCAGAAACAGGATGTGAATAACAACCAGCACAAAACAGTAAGTTCAAAACCTGGTTTCTTTCTTTCTTGGAACAATCTCCCAAGATTTTCATTTCTCACCAGTGAGGCTCTGGGGCAATTCCCATCACAGAGATGGGAGCATCAATTCTACAGCAGGCTCAGCTCCAGGAGCTGAGGTTTTCCCTGCAAACAGCCAAACTCCAAGTGAGCTTTGCACAGAAAATTGCTTTGAAATCGGTGGAATGTCACCAAAATCACGAGCAGTCACCACCTGTAAATCAGAAAATCCTAATAAAGCATGAGCAGCAAAAACATAACAATACATGTGGACATCCAAAACAATGCCAGAGCATCATTAAAGGAATTCAGCAGAGCAGGAGCAGCCCAGAGAGCCTTGGGGTTGGGAGGATGCTCCTTCCTGCAGCCACAGCTCTGGGCAGAAGGGTCAGGACAAGCCAGGGAGTCTCCACCATCCCATGAGGAAATAAGGACACAACACCACTATCATCAGAGAATTAAATAATGTATAGGAGATTTTAAAGAAAGCAACAGGAGCTGATCAAGGAAATATTTTTACCACAAGTTCTCCAAGGCAATGTCAGCTGGCTGAAGAAGAGACAAACAAAACATCATCTGCTTCAGAAATAAGAGTGCAGGAGTTCCCAGGAGGACACAGAAGGAATTCCAGGAGTTTCCAGGACACAGAAGGAATTCCAGGAGTTTCCAAGACACAGAAGGAATTCCAGGAGTTTCCAGGACACAGAAGGAATTCCATCCCCTCCTGGCTGCTCAGTGCTCAGCCCTGGCACCACCACATCCCCTTCCCTCTCCCCTCCAAGTTCAGTTCCACCTGAATGCAAAACAGGAACATTTCTGAAGTTTCAAAAAGCTGTAAAAGCAAAGGAAAATCATCTCCACTTCATTGGGAGAAGGCTCCCTACACCTTGAGAAATGCTAGACAGAAACCTTGGGAGTTTCCAAGGGCAGGATTCACACCTGAGGAAAAACAAAACCCACACACAAACACATCCTTAAACCAACTTTGTGACTTTTATTGATGGGCGACAACTTTATACTTCTAGGTATCACTAAACTGTGTACAATTAGGAACTCAACATTATAGGAGAGCAGACAGCAAAATTAAACAAAGCAGACTTAAAGAAATATCAATCTTAATTATTTTGCCCATTTTCTTAATTTCATGTACACAGAAGCATAAATGCAGTTTGAAATTTCTTAATAGCAATAAAGTTACAATCACCCATCTATATAGACTAACATCTTAACTCCAAATATTTGATCTGCAATGTGTACTTAAGCAGTTTCTCATCGCACAATTATTAAAATGTGTCTTCCTATCAGGAACCAGCAACTCTGCAGTTTGTACATGTTTTGAAGCACAAAGGACCATTTCCATCTCATACACATCGGCTCATATTTTACCACTTATCAAAAAACTATTGGGGAAGCAGAGAGAGCTTTTCATCTTTTTTTTTTTTTAATTTTTTTTCTTTTTTTACTGAAGTAAAGATAAAACATTTTCACAGAAATCTACAAGTTCTGTTGCTGGTGCAGGGTTTTCTTCTACTACGCAATTAGAAAGTGGGAATTCAACGCAAATCCCCTTTTTTTTTTATTATCTTAGGATTCAGCATTAACTCGGATGAACTTTATTTCTTTTTTTTCATATTTTTTGTGATTCACAAAGGCTTCCAACCGAGCGACTTCATTCTGCAAAGTCAAAAAAGTCAACACCAACCACGTCGTGCACAAACGGCAGCTTTCCTTTAGCACTCTATCCCANGTTTTATGTTTTAATTCATTGTTTTACTGTCAAGATAAAACAATGTGAATCTCATTCTCTCTCAGTATCCTTAGTTATGACATGAGATCAGATTCCTCAAAAGTCCTAAAAATGGGCAAAAACTCCTAAAATTGGGAAAGTCTTTTTCCACAGGCAATTCAAGGCTTGGGATCTCATGACAGACTCTTCATTTCAGACATTTTCAAAGACATTTTAAAGATAAAACAATGTGAATCTCATTCTTTCTCAGTATCCTTATTTACAACATGAGATGAGATTCCTCAAAGGTCATAAAAATGGGCAAGAACTCCTAAAATTAGGCAAGTCCTTTTCCTTTCTTGAATTCCATGCAATTCAGGACTTGGGATCTCTTTTCATTGAAGACATTTTCAAAGATGTCTTAAATCAAGATAAAACAATGTGAATCTCATTCTCTCTCATAACATGAGATGAGATTCCTCAAAGGTCATAAAAATAGGCAAGAACTCCTAAAATTAGGCAAGTCCTTTTCCTTTCTTGAATTCCATGCAATTCAGGACTTGGGATCTCTTTTCATTTAAGACATTTTCAAAGATGTCTTAAACCAAGATAAAAAAAGGTGAATCTCATTCTCTCTCATAACATGAGATCAGATTCCTCAAAGGTCATAAAAATGGGCAAAAACTCTTAAAAATTTAGGGAAGTCCCTTTCCTTTTCCTTTCCTGAATTCCATGCATTTCACGGCTTGGGATCTCACAACAGACTTTTCATTTAAGATATTTTCAAAGATGTCTTAAAGATAAAACAATGTGAATCTCTATCAGTATCCTTAGTTATAACATGAGATCAGATTCCTCAAAGGTCATAAAAATGGGCAAGAACTAAAATTGGGAAAGTCCTTTTCCACATGCAACTCAAGGCTTGGGATCTCACAACAGACTTTTCATTTAAGACATTTTCAAAGACGTCTTAAATCAAGATAAAACAATGTGAATCTCATTCTCTCTCATAACATGAGATCAGATTCCTCAAAGTAAAAATAGGCATAAACTCCTAAAATTAGGCAAGTCCTTTTCCTTTTCCTTTCCTGAATTAAATGCAATT